TATATATATATATATATATATATATATATATATATATATATATATATATATATATATATATATATATATATATATATATATATATATATATATATATATATATATATATATATATATATATATATATATATATATATATATATATATATATATATATATATATATATATATATATATATATATATATATATATATATATATATATATATATATATATATATATATATATATATATATATATATATATATATATATATATATATATATATATATATATATATATATATATATATATATATATATATATATATATATATATATATATATATATATATATATACACACACACACACTAACATCCATTAATATTCAACTATATGTGATTTTCAATTTTTTTCAACCGTCTATAATTTTATTTTAGATCACTTTGAATTTAAACATCAAAATATTATGTTCCATAAGGGTGGATTTGAACTCACAACATATTCACGACATAACAATTTAAATCAATTTATATAGGTTTAGAAAATATATTAATAGTTTCGTTAAATCTGCTTAATTGGTAGTTGTATATAAATAAATAAATAAGTGTGTGTATGGTTCTGTGGTGAAAAGAATTAATTTTGTAAACTTGATTTTAGTTAAAGTGAGTTGAATGTATATAATTTATGTAGAAGTGACTTAAACAGTAAATTTCAATGTAAATATCACATTTAAATTTAAAAGCTATAAATTCCATTTTTCAAGTAGAATTAATTCTATTTTAAAAGAACCAACCATTTCAAAATTATTTCAAAATCAATTCTACAATTGCTTTTTCCTATTCCAAAAGTTAAACCAAACATACATTAAGAGTATTTGTGGTGCGATTTTGATCAATTAAAAAAAGTCATTTATTCAAAAAAAATTATACAAAGATATCTAATTCGCATATGCAATTGTTCAAACTTGTGACTCCTTAATTATTCACGGGATGCTCTTTCCACCTAATGAGGTGTGTCTCACGCCTCTGAAAACTCGAAAATGTCTTTCTTTTTTCAGGAGATGCATCTCTTGACGCACCTAAAATCACACAAGCCCCCATAATCCAGCCACACGCCCCATTTTTGCCAAAATATAGTCCAAAGATGTATCTCCGTAAATTTTCTCTGGTGATATCTAGAGATGCATCTCCAAAATATTTCTTGAAGTCATTTAAAAGGTATTGGGTGCGTGTTAATTGCACACAGGAGATATATTAAGGATACATCTCTAGAAACCCCCTAAATGGTTTCAAGGTTGCAACATTGTCCCAATATTATAATTTTTTTAGGCCAAGTTGTATTAAAGTAAAATCAAGTTATATTAAAGCAAACCGAAAATAAAAATTCACACATTAATTAAATTAAAAGCAAAATGTATCGACCATACATAACTTGTTTTGAAAATACAAAAAAAAAAACAATACAACCGAACATAACCTAGTGAGTATGTCTAACCCTCTAGCTTCTCCGCTTATACTGCAAGGCATTATGTGCCTCCGAAATAATGTTTTCTTCGAGGGATAAATAGGGATTACCTTCCTAAAAAAATCTTGTCTCTATACCCGAACTCGTCATATCCACAAGTATCGTATCAAATGACTCTAAAAATCCTCAAGTATCGCATTAAAATCCTCAGGGGTGTCTCAGAATAATCTGCAAATACCCAAATTGGCATATTACATGTTCGGACATATACAAATACATCAGACCTAACTCACATGTTAACCATTCAAAGTATAACGAAAAGAGGTCTAGTTGCCACGTCTGGCGATGACCGCCATATGGGCAGAAGGAAATGTCATATGCTACATGACGGATAAAATACATCTGGAATGGCTTGACCGCCTGATTCCTTATGAGCGGGGCAAAGGCGGAAGCACGTGACTAATCCTAAGTGTAGTTAGATATAGGTTCCCACTCGGAGATGCGAGGGAAGTGGGAGATGTTTCTTCCCTGAAAATGGTTTAGATAAAATATTAATAACAAGTGTAACAAAAGAGTTATGAATATATTAGTAATAGTAAACTAGTGTAAGTATTGTGCCTATTCCTATCATATGCTTTTTCTTCCAAAGACAACTCTCACCCAACTTCGAGTACAGATAGACTAAACAAAAGGCCCCCTAGTTGTACTTATTAATCGTCATCAATTCGATGAAGTATCTTAGATCCACCACATCAATGTAGGTTGTACTTTTGTCCACAAACATGGACATGTCAATCAGGAACAAGAGGTAACATCTCAATGCATATTTTTGGTGGTAATCAACCAGTATATCATCACCTTCAGCATCTAGCACCATTTACAGGTGGTCTTTATAAAGTTCTTTCAAATATTTAAATCTAGCATGAGAACCTCTAGTGTCAGCTACCTCATTTGCAGTCTTAGTTGGGTTAACCCCTAAATATGTAACCAGCATCTCATTGGCTTCCTCTCGACCGAGCCTTCTGTGGTCCAGTAAATTTCCCATGATGGGAAGATGCATGAGACATGAGATATCATCTAGGGTGATGGTCATCTCGCCAATAGGAAGATGAAAAGATGACGTCTACGAATGTTATATCTCTAAAAATTCCGCATGTATGTCATGGTTTATGGTAGTGTATGCAGTAGCACGAAAACCGGCAAGATGAGATTAGCAGATAACATTCTTGAACCAGTCAGCATCAGGTTATTCCAAATCCAATATTTTCCTTTCGTGGTTTACGGGTTTGAAACATTGACACTTTTTTATAAAAAAAACAAAATAACCATCAATCGATATTAAATTAGTTTAAAACAAATGTAATGCAAAGTAAATAAATACACTTCTCCTTCCCACACTTGGATAACTATCTACATGGACATAAGCAGTGGGTTCCTCGTATGCTTCAAGGGCTTCATAAGTATGGGGCACATGGTCCCGTGAAGTAGATGCTTGAGACATGTGACTATGGGAAGTAGAACTAGATGGTTATGAACCTCGACCTTGTGAACCATCAAATGAGGTATTATCGATTCAGGGCCTCGTGGCCTTGCCCCTAGCTCTCTCACGTCGTACAGACACGTGTTGGGACACACGGTCATTCCTAATTCTCTCTAGATTGTTTTCAGTCATTGCACCTGTAATAAAACCAAAAATTTACATAAAAAGTTCAACTAAAATATAGTCAATTATAAGTTCGAATATACATCTCTGAAAACAGTCCAAACATAATCCATAAATTTCATCAATGGTAGAAACCCCATTGTTGCCTTAACCTCCAACCAAATGGCAAGACATGTCTATATCAGCTATCTATTTCGATTGTACTACTATCTAATGCGGCTTAATGAAATTATGTTACTTAAAACATTATTCAAAACACACATAAAAAAAAGAATTAAATGATAAATTTACCATAATAGAGTTGTGATAGAGAACCTTGAATAGAGTGAGTAAATTTGCAGCAAATAAAGTAGAACGGAGTAAGAGAACTTGATGAAATTTGCTCAAATAGAGTTTGGAAATGGTTTGTAGCAAAAGAGCTCAATGGAGTTTTTTGAGTGAGTATTCAAAAAATTAAGGAGGAAGAGGGAATGGTTTTGCGCTTATTAATGTATAAAACGTGTTCGACGATGCATCTTTGTAACACCCACTAAATTTAAATTAATGGTGTTTCCAAAAATATATCCTCAAACTAGGGCTGAAAATGAGTCGAGTCGAGTCGAACTCACCTCAGCTCGGCTCGACTCGTTAAGAATTGTTCGAATTCGAGTTCGAGTTCGAGTTCGACACGAACTTTTTTTTAAGCTCAAACTCGACTCGTTATAAGTTCACGAACAGTTCGGTTCGACTCGTTAGGTTCATCTCATTAGGTTCACCTCACATGGTTCACGAACTTAAAAACTATTTTTTTAAATATATATTTTTTAGTATATTTGACATTTTAAATAAATATATATTTTTTAAATAAAATATTAAAATAAAATAAAAGTTATCATATTGAAATTTAACTTTATCTTCGAAATCTACTAATTCAAAACCTACACAACTTTCAAGAGATACATTTGAGAGTCTAATTCAAAAACTACTAAATTGAAGATTAAATTTATCTAAGATTTGAAGTAAATATTTAAACATAATCTTAAAGACAGTATAATTCTTTTCATATGTAATCGAGTTGACTCATGAACCTAACGAGTCGAACTATGTATAGTTCAAGTTCAGCTCATTTAGTTAACGAACTTAATTTTTCGCTCATACTCAACTCATTTGGTTAATGAACCTAGTTCAACTATTTAATTGTTGAATCAAATTTCGAATTATCTTCGAATTAGTTTGGTTCATTGCCAACCCTACTTCAAACTCATCTTTATAGTATGTCAAAATATATATTCGAAATAAATTTTAACAAAATAAAAATAATTTGTCTATTTGTATCAAAGAATGTGTAAAAAGAATACATACAAAAATACATCTTGAAACAATAGATATAATTTTACAGTTTCACCATGATCGAGTAGAACTCCTTGTGGTGGAAAAAGTAACACCCTTTTAATATGTAAAATTTAGACACGCAAATTGAATAATATACTAAGAAAAAAGAATTAGCATTCAGAGAAAGAGAAAGTAAACCACGTGATTACCACATCTGTCCTTGATCGTACGGGTGTAAAGTGACACTAGAAAGGTCAAGGTTGCATCAGATTCCAACCCACTAACATAAAAATGTGATTAAAATCAAACGGCGTAGAATCCATCTAAGTAACAGTGTCGACACATAACACAACACGACACAGTTGTCGTATATATCCCCACAAACCCTTCGCGTTTCAAATACATTTCCCATGTTTTTATTTTTGTTTTTGTCTCAGTTATTATGATATCACCCTTTACAATCCAGCAAAAACCTTGGCTCTATTACCTCGTTTTCCTCTGAGATTTTCTACTTAAACACCGAAACCCAACACAATCAGAAACATTAAACTTTGTTTTGTTTTGGTTTAGTTGCAGAGATGGGAAGCGGTGAGAAAAGTGTGAAAGGGTTTCTGGTGCATGGGAAGAAACAAGAGTCGAGAGGTGTACGAAAAGGGTTTCTTGCGATCAAAGTGGGTCAAGGTGAAGAAGATCAAGAGAGATTCGTTGTGCCGGTGATTTACTTCAATCATCCACTTTTCATGCAGCTTCTGAAAGAAGCTGAGGAAGAATATGGATTTGATCAGAAAGGAACGATAACAATTCCTTGTCATGTTGAAGAGTTCAGAAATATTAGAGGTTTGATTGATAGGGAAAAGTCTCTTCATCATAATCATCATGGTGGATGCTTTGGCTTTTGAGAACTTTTGGGTGGTGGTGATGTAAATTCGTCTTAATGGTTAGTTGAAGGATGATGATGACAGAAATGTTAAATACTTGTTAGGAAATTGTAATAATGAAAGTAAAAATAGATAGATGCTTTCTCTTTTTCTTTTTTCTTCAATTTGGACTAGTTGCTGCACTACTCATTTTGGAAAAATTAAATAATTGAAAAGAAGGAAATCACATAAACGTAGGACCAAACAAAGTTTCTTCCTTTTTTTTTAGTCATTCAATTCAATTTAGTATATAGACGCAATCGCTCTAAAGTGATTGCATATAATCAGGGAATTATTTGATCAAGATCATCAAAATCTATATTAAATTCTGCAATATGTCTAATCTTAATCGAATGATTTAAATATGACTGACTGCGGGTTGTCATATTGTAGCCATTACAAATCCTTCATGTTTATGGATAGGGTAAAAAAAAATTAATTTCCAAAAAAGCTTGATGAAACTATGTTCTATTTTCAAGTCATCTGATCAAGAACATCATAATCTACATTAATTTCTGCAACGTTTAAGTTTATGGAAAGTGCTATCACTTTAAGCTGACAACATACAATCAGCTCCATCAAGATCATAAAAGTTATATGAAATTTTGCAACATGGACGGTGCAATCACTCTAAAGCTGACTGCACACAATCAGCTTCGTCTAAATTATTTGGTTAAGTTCATCATAACCTATATTAAATTCTACAACGTCTAATCTTGACCCAATAATTCAAATATTACTACATTGCAGACATTACAAATCCTTCATGTTTAAGGTTAAATTTCAAACAAAATAAAAAAATCCCTGGATGAAACTATGTTCTTCTATCCCACTATTTCAAGTCTTTGAAAATGGTGCAATCAATTACTATAGTTAACTAGGATTTCTTCTTGACACTTCAACAACCAATTGTTGATGTTGAGCCGTGTTAATTGCCAATATCTTTATCATAAAACCCTCCATCAATCTTATCCTTTCACTAATACTACCATTAAAAAGCTTAATGGTTGTTAAGGGATGGTTAGTGTGTCACTAACACGTCAATAGACTTCATTGTACACTAATTTGTTCCTAAAAATATGCGGTGCCATAAGATGCAAACTTCCCAAAAGGATCACCCTAGTTAAGTCAGGTAGTTTTAATTTTCAGAAAATTGCAATGAAAAACAATATTGATACCGAATCATTTAACTTTGAGTTGTTATTCATTTTTTAGATTCACAAACAAATGAATATGATGTTTCATAGTGTGTCCCAAAGTTGCGCCACGTGAGAAGCTGGATATTGCAGCTTCAATTTTGTTGTGCGTTTAGGTGATTTTCAACGCAAAAACAAGCACATGCAGCTTCAATTACGTCGTGTGTTTAGGTGGTTTTTTCAACACAAAAACAAACACATGCAGCTTCAACTCCGTCTGCGTTGAGGTCTTGAGGTGTTTTTCAACACATGCAAATATGTATGGGCTCAAAGGAGCACGTTATCTGCAAAATATGGCCCCAGGATGGGATTGTAACATGAAATTTACTCAACATTTCTCATATTTGCCAACACATCATTCATTTATACACATTCCACTTTTCACCACCCGAAAGAGAAATCCAAAGTAAAAAATAATCCTTATAAATCTATAAATGAACCTATAAATCTTTTTCTCCCATCTTTATGTGCTAAATAAATAAAGAGCTCAAGACTGACGAGGTCTTGGAACAGAACTCCGCAGAGTCACTCCATGCAAAAATTTTGTATATCCAAGTAAACTAAGCTTTCCATCAGTATTTCGAATCCAATCTCTCAGAACTGAATACGCCGAAGGACCAAGATTTAGCTCCTGCATCCATATTAGCAATATAATTAATAAACGTGTGACTGTATACCCTAGTCAAACCGAAAAATGATGGCGAAATTAGAGAACTTACTCTTGCTAATTCTTCGATCGATATCACACGGTTTCCCTCACTCTCGAAATGCTCAAATGCAGTGCAGGCAATATCTTCCCACCTATCAAGTGCCTCCAGTTGATATGTGCTTGTCGCAGCTGCACAAAATTCTTCGAAATCCATCTTTCTATAGGCAAGCGGTTCCATCTATAAAATTAATTAACAAAGCAAGAGATAAATATGTTTGGTCAGATCAAGAGTGAAATATGTCCCTGCATACTATGTAAGAGTAATGACTCACCGTATGTATGATGTCAAGAACCCTTGATTCCCTCATGGCTTCAGTTGCATGGCGTGCAAGAGCCTGCACAAAGTTCAATATTAAACTATTGCGCAATGATGAATGGTCAAAAGTTACACAAAAATACAGGGAGTAGTGAACACAAACTCTGAAAACAGGATAAACATACAATCATATATGTACGAACGGAAGGAAAAAAAATGTACGCATAATGAACAAGTTGTACTAATGAATGAAAATCTTCTGACTCACAAACCACGGATAAATTTAACTTTTTCGTTCACCATTACAAACCAGAAAGTTGAACAGTGAAGCAGAAACTAACCATTTTAAAGTTGTCGAGGGAGACATGCCCGTCTCTATTTGGTTCCAACAATCTGAATTGTGCTCTAAGATACACTAGCTGGTCCTCTGTCAATGCTTTTGAAAGAGCCTGGATAAATTAGGTGAAAAGTTGATTAAGAATCTAGTGCAGTAAATAAATAAATCAACATCAACTATCACGAAACAAATGTGCACACATTATGGTGGTAGGGTCGGTTACATCTTCGCTTTTAAATAAAAGATATTGCTTTATTTTTGTTTCTGGTTTTCAAATATTGTAAACAGTGAATAATCGCAAATTAATTCATATCAGTGTAAGCATATTATTATTCCAGGAAATGAAATAAATAATACCTTCAGTGCTGCCCGTTTGAATGGTGTTGCGTGAAGATAAGATTTCACCAACTTATAAATCAGTATATCTAAAGGGATAGGGCGGCTTTCATCCCTCAACCAAGGGTGAGCTGCAATCACACAAGTGTGCATTAATTAGCTTTAAAAATTCAATTTGCAATGATATTTTTACCACTTACCGCAACTATACCTATTACTAATAGAACCTAGTGAGTAATATTGATCCACCTACCATAACATAAATCTACACAACCAACAAGATGGGTGTATTTATTGAGTTTATAACAATTATAACAATATTTTAAAATGTTATTCTTTGATGATCAATAAGAAGCATTATGCGGGCATATAACATCGGCATTACTAGTCTTGTAAATTGATAGGAAAACTTACTTAGAGCTTGAGCAGCCGTCATTCTTTTTCGGTAGTCCTTGTTAAGGAGCCTTTTAACAAAGTCCTTGCCTTCTGGAGACACGGATGGCCAAGGTAGATCATCAAAGTTAGGATCAGCTCTGAGAACTGTACGAAAGATTCCAGACTCTGTTCGTGCCCAGAATGGACGGCTTCCACATAATAAGATGAAGGTGATAACACCAATACTCCATATATCTGCTTCCACACTGTAAGACCTGTGGAGGACCTCAGGTGCAACATAATATGCACTCCCAACAATGTCATTCAATCGCTCCTCTGATATCAGCATGGACAAACAAAAAGTTCAGTTTATTTATATCCACAAACCCGTAATCAAGTATGCATGAAAAGAAGCAGCCGTCTCCAATAATTTTAATTTGTATGGAAATGAATATTGAGAATCGCTCTATTTATAACCTGGTCTAATGAAGTCAGACAGACCAAAATCAATAAGCTTCATATCAGCATCTTCACTTCTTGAAGTGAAAAGGAAATTCTGTAAAATCGAAACCGAACAAAGAATTATCAAAATTTCCTACTTTATTAGTCAGATATAATTAAGCACCAACATTTAAATGAGAGTTAGATGTTACAAGTTGTTATATGTAAGAAGATTTAATTAACAAACCTCAGGCTTCAGGTCACGATGCACAACACCTTGAAGATGACAAAAGGCAGCTACACTTAGAATCTGCAAAACAATAGCTTTTGCATCCTCCTCGGTATACCTTCCTCCTCTGGAAGAGAAAAGAACGTTTTTCAATCAAACTAAAAGAGTATATTGAGTTAAAATCACAAGTATCCTAGGAAAAACTAACCTTGACAAAATTCGGTCAAGAAGCTCCCCACCTTCACACAATCTGATAAGAAAAGAAAATTATAAACATCACTATAGGAGGATACCACAATTAGAAGACGCATGTTCAACTATACCTACACCTAAAGTTTCCTCTGTCAAAATATGTACAACAGAAACATAACAATGGTTCTGTTCGCTAATCCTACACCAAAGTCTTATTAATTATAGATGATTCTGAAAATAAGATAAAAATGACATACTCCATAACTATGTAGACATTATTGGCATCCTCACAGGCATCGTGAAATTTGATAAGATGTTTATGGCCTGACAGAGCCTTCAACAGCTTCACTTCCCTTCGAACATCTTCAATTGCTATTGCTGTGGTCATCTGCCAAATCAAGCTTATTAAGATCCGGCAAAAACTTTATTTAACATATCTAAAATATTAAGAATTAATATAGTTTATAAAGTCTGACTTCCTGAATTATTATGCGATATGATAGTGATTACAGTTGCATATATCATTAGACAAATTAGGCACAAATAGCAATTGTGATTAAAGACATTCCCAAACATATGTTTCGTGATGTACAAGATGGACAAACAAGGTAAGTAATATTCTCAAACAAATTCTACGAGGGGGGCGAAAAAGGTAAGTAATATGCTCAAACAGCGTAAATTATTTAGTTTATAATACAATTTATGTGTCATAGTATTGTTAATGTTAGTTGTGGCACAGCGGTAATGACCCTTTTGGAAACAAGACACGCAAGACCAAGTTCGGATTCCAGCAAAGAGGCACTTTGCTATTTTAGGGGGAAAGTTTAAACAGTGGATATTTTAAAAAGAATACTCCTGCAGGAGTCGATTCTATAACTCGTTACATGCATTAATTCCGCTAACGGTTCTAGAAAGTAAATGAAGATATTCAGAAGATGAGTAATATGCAAACGACAAAATATACATTCACATAACCGATCTAGATATTCGGTAGATGAGTAATATGCAAACGACAACATGCATTTGTCAAACAGTTATAGAAACTAACTGAAGATTTTTGGAAGATGAGTACACGCAAACGACAAAATATATATTCCCTTAACAGTCCTAGATATTTGGAATACGAGTAATATGCAAACGGCAAAACATACATACATTCCCCTAACGGTTCTAGAAATTAAATGAAGATCTTCGGAATATGAGTAATATGCAAACGACAAAATATACATTCCCTTAGCGGTACTAGATATTCGGAATATGAGTAATATGCAAACCACAAAACATACATTCCCCCAACGGTTCTAGAAATTAAATGAAGATCTTTGGAAGATGAGTAATATGCAAACGACAAATATACATTCCCCTAACGGTTCTAGGAATTAACTGAAGATATTTGGAAGATGAGTAATATGCAAACGACAAAATAGCATGCAAATATTGACTGCCATAATACATACATGTAAAATCAAAAACCAGTCTTGATTTCTAATCTTGTAAAAGTGGTAAGTTTTGATTCGGATCCCTATTGAAATTTTCTCTGTTTTGAGTCTTTGTATTAACAGTTTTTTTTGTGTTTTCATAAAAGTAAAAACCAGAAAAATAAGCTGCAGTTTTATTTGATAATAAAACATTATATATGTTAGTAAAAGTGAAAATACCAAATTGATATTTTTGCAAATCCAATAAGGAAACATGTTCCATTGACGGCAAAAAATATGTTTCACACTCTTCTCATTAAAGATTAGTTGTGAGTGTGACGCGAAGAGAGAAATATGATGTGAAGAAAAGGAGAAACTTGTCAATACATCATGACGCCAATTTAAGTTTTAAACTTCACATGTGGTATGTTTTCATAGAGTTTGGAACTTGGGACTTTGCACTTGAGATTACAGTTATCATTCACGCCACTTCAGACCTAGTGTGGTGACACTAGGCCTAGCAAATCGAGACTGGAAGAAACTTTACCTAGTCTGCGCATTACTCTGACAGCTAAAACATGCTTAGTCAAGATTTTCATAAACAAAAAAGCTTTGACGAAGAGAAAAGACAAATTTTCTGAAGCACACTACTATAGGATGTTCCATAAATTTCCACGTCAACTCCTTGATGATATTCTTCGCATGACAGCAACCGACAAAATCAATAAATTTTAGAATATGCTGCTGAATGCTGATATAATATCGGTTACAAACATCAGAACTCCAATGTGGCAGGAAATTTCATAACGCGATACCAAACAATTTTACAATCAGTTCACATATTTCAATTACGACGTACAAACAAAGCATTTTAAGAACAATGCATATCAAAACTACATAGCAAATAGCAATAGCCTAAGATTATCACAGTTTCCTTGACACGAACTGAGCAAAGATCAACCCGAATTTTCCAAATGCCATCACAGTAGTCCAAAGTAATCACAATCAAACCTTTCATGCAATCAATATACATACAAATAGAGAATGAAAGAGAATAAAAAAAACCTAATTGAAATTGAATTGAAGCAATGGTTTACCTTGGACTTGGAAATGATCTTAACAGCAACAGGTTGATCTTTGAGATCACCTTTCTTTGCCCTAGCAGAACAAGTATGACCAAAATGCCCTCGTCCCACTTCTTTCCCTAACTCATACTTAGCTCCAAAATTCTTACTATACCCAAAGCTCTTATCAAGCGACTGCGAATCCACTTCCCCCACGCCACGCTCCTCCGGTATCGGTCCCTCCTTGGGCTTCCCCTTCCCCAGCCTCTTCGCCAACGACTCCCTTATATGCTTGGCCGGAGAAGGTGGCGGAAACGGCCGCCGGAAGAATCTCCTCGGCGTGGAGGCTCTAGCTGGCGAGGGACTCGGGTTGACGCCATGAGGATAAGGACTAGGCCACGGACTAGCGTGCGAGGAGGACCTAGCTGGAGTAGTTTTCAGAGACGGAATCCCGTTGGCGGAAGACGGTAGCGGAGAAGGATGAAACTCGGTGGCGGCAATTATAGTGGTTGTGTTTTGGCCATGGTGGTTATCGCTATCGTTACCGGCGCCGGGGATAGTCTTGCCGTAACACTGACCCATCGCGACGGAGGTAGTTGTTAGTTATGAGTAATCAGAGTGGAGACATATTGCAGTCGGATCCGCAGGAAAAGAGTGAGATCTGCTAAAGGAAAACGATAAAACAAGAGAATTTTGAGTCAGGTAGTAGAGTAAGAGAGAGAGAGAGAAAGAGAGAGACAGAGACAGAAAGAGTGAGAGAGAGAAGCGAAGGAAAACAAAAAGAAATAGTGAAATGTAAAGCAGAAGAGACTTGAGTGTTGTTGTAAGTAATAACAAACTAACAAACACAAAACTACATATGGGTCAGTCAATTCACAAATATTACCAGCTTCGCAGTCTACGTTTCTAAAACTATCACCAACGTTCATCTATGTCGCTTCGTCACATCTCACCCGTTGCTTTTTTTCTTATTTCATACCAACTTTGTCCTAATATTAATTTATAAAAAGCGGTACTAAATATTCTCAAACCATTTTTCTTGGTTTTTAAAATACAATTTTTTTTATGAAACTTTGTCATTTTAGTCTTTTGGAAATTTAATTTTATTTTTAAATAGTCTAAGGATAATTTTGAATAGAAGGGTAATTATATATTTTTTTATTAAATTAATTGGATTAATTTTAAAAAATGAAATGGAGCGGATTTTTTTCAATAAAATGCGTTCTATCTCATCTTATCATTTTGCAAAAAGCTCAAATAATAAAATAATATTTTTATTATATTCTATTTCATTTTGATATATTTTAGTCAGTTTCGCTGTATTTTTTTTCAACTTTTTTTATAATATTCAAATATAGACTTAACATGATTATCTTTTTATATTAATCTTTAATGTGTATAATGTCGAAACTAATAACTCAGATCAATATAAATTTGGTACAAATGTTACTATTCTTTTATGATTAAGACTCTCTTTGATAAGATATTTTTTTGAGCTTATAAGCTTATATGACAATAAAAGACTTGTTTAGTAAAAAATTTTCATCACGAGCTTATATCTTCTTTTATTAGCTTATAACTTATTTTTCAGATACTATTTAAATAGTGTTTTATCTTCTAGCTTATAGCTTACCATTTTTTCTTCCACTTTTATTCTTATTATTTTAACTAAAACTCACCACTATCATCTATAATTTATTATAATTTAAAATAAAATAATTATTATTAAATATCTTTTATGTCATTTTATTTTATCAGCTAATTAAACCGCTAATTTTACCAAACACTTCAATTAACTTATCAGCTATAGGTCATCAGTGATCAGTTATAAGCTATAAACTATCAGTCATAAGCTATAAACTATCAATTAACTTATCAGTCAATCGCTATTTTTACCAAACAGAACTTACATAAAAAAAGAATATTTTGTATAATTTTTTTTAAAAATCAAATATATTTTAAAAGAAAATTTAAAGGCTAATATGTCATATCTTCTTCAAAATAAATTAACACAGATATATAATCAAAATCATTTATTAATAAATATAAAATTTAATTAAACATCGTTAATGTAAGTTTTACGATAACATCTAATAATAGATTATCATATTGCATATTCATTATTTTTAAATAATTATAAAATATGTTATTATTTTGAGAGATTGTTGTAAAATTAATATTGTTCTGGCATGGGCCCCGGCCTGGCCACGCAGGCCCAGCCCAATAATATTCCACCAAGCTCAGTCCAGCTTGGGTCACACGTCGGGTACAGGGTCCCCGACGAGCAGAAAATGTCTCCCCGCGGGCAGGGCCTGCTCCAATTACGCCGGACAGGAGACTCCCCTCTCGACCAACACTGCAGGACCTTCTCCTTGTCGGGCAGAACAATGTGTCCTCCACACGTTCTCCACGTGCCCCCCTACGCGGGAACACGTCACTAACCAACTGTCCACCTCCGAAAGAGCAGGTCAAACTCACTTTCCGGAGATCACGGGACAGTTGAACTAGGGCGAAGACCACGTTTTGGTCTTCACCACGCCACGTAAATTATAGCAGTCACCTGGGTTGGGCCTGACAATCCAGCCCAACAAAAGTGACTGTTGACTCAGCGTTGGGGTCTCTCTAAAAATATTCTCTTCCACAAGAGGGTCAGGTAATTCACTTCTACCCATTTTCTGTATTTGCTCTCACTCTGTCCAATTCCTTACTTTGGCATCAGATTGTCTTGCAGGTACACCTCCTCCTCCTCTTTAACACTGGTGAGCAAACAGCAGTCCAACAAAGTGTGGTCAGCTAGTGATCTCCTTCTGGGTCAGATCAAATATATATACATTGCACATTTTCTTTTCAAAAATTAAATTAATTTAAATAAATTTAATTTAATATAATATATAAACGTGGAAGAAAAAAAGTTGAATATAAATATTTATCAAATTTGGTGTGGTTGTTGGGTTTGTTTGTAAATGAAGTAATAAAATGAAAAGTGATGTGTTGGGTGGGGCATAGATATGGGTTAAAAATGAAGGGGGTATTAAATAAAAGGAGGGTTTAGGGTAGTAGTGGGTAGAGTGGAAGGTAGTCGTAGAGGATTGAGGATTCCATGGAATCAGAGCTCACGAAATTGCAGTAATAATAAAAACACAACATAACCTCTTCCGAACCTTCCAAATATATCACGACAAAATACAAATATAGAAATACTTTATTATTTGCTAATAACACCAAACCACAAAATATTTTCACTAAATCAAATCAATTATGTTAAATCTTTTTTTACTTTTTTAGTAAAAATATAGTCATAGATGATGTCATTTATTCTATTTTATTAAATAATTCAGATAAATTTGGCAAAATGTTATTTCTTAATTTAAAATTTATTTTAATATATAAATTATTATCTTTTATTAGAAATTTATGGACACCAAATTTAAGGATCAATTTAAGAAAAAGGTATTAACTAAATGACTTAGTTCAAAAGAAAACGTGTTGATAACATCTATTTTATATTTTTTTTGTACATTTAATTTTTAATATATTTTACTTTTTATAAATGTATTTGAGCAAAATATTAATATTTAAAACTAATAAAAATTCATATTGATTTAATAGTATTTGGATGAGATTAGGGCTGACAATGAACCGAACCAACTCGAAAATAGTTCGAAATTCGATTCGACAATTAGATCGTTGAACTAGGTTCATGAACCTAATGAGTTGAGTATGAGCGAAAAATTAAGTTCGTTAGCTAAATGAGCTGAACTTGAACTCTACATAGTTCGACTCGTTAGGTTCATGAGTCAACTCGATTACATATGAGAATAATTATACTGTCTTTAAGACTAGATTTAAATATTTAATCTAAATCTTAGACAAATTTAATCTTCAACTTAGTAGTTTTTGAATTAGACTCTCAAATGTATCTCTTGAAAGTTGTGTAAGTTTTGAATTAGTAGATTTCGAAGATAAAGTTAAATTTCAATATGATAATTTTTATTTTATTTTTAAAAAAATATATTTATTTAAAATGTCAAATATACTAAAAAATATATATATATTTAAAAAAAATAGTTTTTAAGTCTGTGAATCATGTGAGCTGATCCTAATGAGTTGAACCAAACTGTTCGTGAACTTATAACAAGTCGAGTTTGAGCTTAAAAAAAAGTTCGTGTTGAACTCGAACTCGAAACAATTCTTAACGAGTCGAGTTTGAGCTTAAAAAAAAGTTCGTGTTGAACTCGAACTCGAACTCGAACTCGAAAAATTCTTAACGAGTCGAGCCGAGCTGAGGTGAGTTCGACTCGACTCGACTCATTTCCAGCCCTAGATGAGATCAATGTAAAAAAAATTATAAATTTTTATAAATTTTTTTTGTCATCTAGTAAGAAAAATAAAAATCTATTTTGATCTTCTACCATAGAGTTTGTGGCAACATATTTCTCTTGCCATAACATAAGACATAAGAATCTGATAATTATTATACTTTAATGGTCTAACGAATGCAAATTAAAATCACAAGCTCAAAAAATTTTGTTTGCATGATAAAAAGAAGGGAAACAAAATTTGACACATCCATTTGATTTTCGGAATCACAAATGCGTTATTAGTATTTTTAAATAAAAAAATTGATGGATAAACTTTTGAAAAAATCTCAATTATCTTTTAAGAGTAAGTTTTTAAAAAAAAATTGAAAAATTTTATCTCACATTCTTACAATTTTCTTGCATATCATATAAAAATTATAAAAATTCATATTTGAAAATAAAAGAACTCCCAAAAATGAAGAAAAAAAATGTTAATGTAAAATTTTAAAAAATTACTCTATATTTTTTATAAAAATTTATGCATATTTATGTCAAAATGCTTTAAAATTGTGTATTTGTTTTTAAAATATGTTTTTACATGTGAAAAAAATCAACTTGTAATAGAAAATATGTTTCAGAATACTGATAGCATTTGTCCAAAAAGTAAAATAATATGTTGGTGATAATTTGTCCATAATGAAAATTACTATGAATATCGATAAAGATCTTTATTAGGGTTAGAAATGAGTCAAGTCGAATTTACCTCAATTTAGTTTGAATCAATAAGAATTGGTTCAGCTCAAAACTCGACTCAAGTTCGACACGAATTTTATTTTAAATTTGGACTCAACTTATTTTAAGTTCACAAACAACTTAGTTCAACTTGTTGGAGACAGCTCAAATTTCTAATTTTTTTTTATAGACAAGTTATGATTAAAGATGTTAAATAGGTTAGTGATGAGAGGTGATGTATAATCTGATAGGGTGACAAGACACTAAACATCATTTAAGAGTTGTGTTGTTTTGAAAGAATGAAGATTAATGTGTTAGTTAAAGTTGTGACAATGGTTAATTTGGAAATTCTTTTTTAAAAATTAAAAAAAAAATTAATGGACATAGCATGTAAATTCATATGGGGAAGACAAAGGAAAATAAGAAGTGGCACAAAGACTCTAAGCGTTTCGTATTTGCCAGCGTCATAATAATTACCTACATCATCGTCATCATAACTTTTTAACCACTAGCTTTGAACCTCTCATATTAATTACCAATATGTTTCTA